CACTTCCAGCATCGAGTCCCTAAGGACACCTGGGTTCGGGTCTCGACCTGAGTTCGTTCTTTTTATGTTTAACTTTGCAATCGTTGTGTGTTTTCTACCCTTCCTCCATTTATACCGCTTTGTGAAGGTGTTTTCATTTTTTTTCGCATGGGCTCTTTTTAACGGTGTGTTTGAAGGTTGGTTTATAGTTTGATTTGCCTGGGCCTGGGGATAGGGCTCCGGTTTAGGGCCTCAGGGGGGGCCGTGCCTCGCTATCCTCAGCAGACCTTCTCGCAATGGGTGCCGTACAAGGAGTGCTCGAATTCAGAGATTTGTGATTTTTGGGATACTGCCACGATTGCTACTGCTACTGCTACTGCTACTACTACTGCCGCTGCGACTGCTACTGCTGCTGGCAACTGGTACTGCTGCCTGCTGCTGCTACTGCTTGCGGTTCTGGCTCTGATAGGCTCACGGTTTAGAAGGCTCTTGCACCCTCTGTGCAGGGCTGGAGTTCGTTGGCCCTGAAGCCGCATTGAAGTGAATCCTGGGCGCACAGTCCGAGACTCACCTGCTTTCAGGTTTCTTACAGGCTTCATAGTTGGTACGTTTTGTTTCAGTGCTTCGTACACTTTCCTTGTAGCCGTAGCAAGCTCAGGCTTTTGCCATGAATCGTGCCCGCTTCTTTCACCGTGCAAGTCGGCGGTAAACCGGAATCTTTTGAACCAAAGACCCGGCTACACTAAACCCTTAATGTAGGGGCCTTAATGGTTAGAATAGGGCTCTGGGGGCCATTATACTATAACTATAATAAGGAGCCCCCAAATCTTATAGGTAATTATTAAGGTCCCTATATTAGGCCACGGGCCCCCATCGCTTGAACGTGCAGCCCGAGTTGTGAGAGCATAAACCCTTCGAAGGAGGGTCACGTCGATGGCCCACGGATCAACCTCACATGGAGATGGATTGCCGGAGCCGAAGGGGAATGGGCGTTTTTTTTAGTTTGGGTTGAGCGCTCTGCGGCGGGAAGATTTCAGGAATTGCAGATACCTAGTGTGCCGAAAGGCAGGTTTTACAGTAGTCCGCGTCCACCTGGAAGCACGCGACGGCCTGACGTTTTTGTGATCATGTGCCATCGCCATTCAAAAGCTTAAATCCCCAATACCTAACTTTTAACCTTTTCGGGCTCTTATGGTTTAGTATGAACCGGAAAGTTTAGCTTTTTCTTTCGGTGGCGTATTGGGGTAGTAAGAAAGCCCTCAGATCTCCAGACATGCTTGGACGTCCTATGTCAAGGCCCCGAAACTGAAGAGTGAGCTGTTGTCCTATCCTGACCATCTCCCAGATTTAAAGGCTCACCTGCAGAGCTGGAGCTTTTTGAGGCCAAGCTTTCTTGCTTCATGATCCGATTAAAGGGCCCTAAACCCTAAAGCCTTCCCACCATGAGCAGTAGGTTTTTCCGGAGCTGCAAACCCCACTTAGTAGCACCTACTTGGAGGCTTGGGGGGCTTACTCAGCGGGGTTAGAACATACCGATGGTTACCTTAAAGCTTACTTTTGTCCCTACTTACTAACTCGCCTGATCCTTGTGTGCCTACAGCTTCAACCACGGCTCTGCGGTTGAAGGTATTTGCGCAAGCCTGAACCCCAACCTGCAAAACACGAAAGCCAGACACTGTTTTTTTACCCAATTCCAAAAACCCTCCAGCGCTCCAGTTGCTTACAATAGTAGGTCATGTGATATGTAACCCAGAAATCCATTATTTTATAAGTAACTGGAGCCTTAGGGCTTCTAAAGCCAGGTAAAGCACACCCCACGCTGCCCAATGAGCCGGCAGCGCCGCTTCTGACAAGGCCTGAGGGCGAATACGAGGGGCTGAACACAGTTTTGGAGGAGTATTGTTGAACAGGAACCCCCTCTCCCCCCAATTACCCCTTAATAGAGGCCATCTATGGCCCAACCATATCATGGCCGGAATCGATGCGTGTTGAGGCTGCAGTACAGTGTATGCGGGGGGGGGAGTCTCGGAACTGAAGACAGGCTCTGTGTGCAAGTGCCCGATCTCTGCTGGCGCTCTTCAGGATTCCTTCTTGTGATTTAATATAGGGGCCTTAGTCATAACCTGTACTGTTTTGGGGGTTTCTTTTTAGGATTACAGTATAATGAGCCCCAAAACCCTATTCTAATTATAAGGGCCCCTATTACCGCCTGTCGTCCGGAGATCCTTCTTACGATCTCCAGCAGATGAAGCTGACAGGGGACCTGCTAACCACGGAAGGATCTTCGCGACGATTTTAGATGAAGATGTGCCCTGTGAGCCGGATTAGGAGCTTTGGGGTCGTGACAGTTCTGCAACGTTTTTTTTTCATCCCGCCAGGGTAGTTAATATATAGGGGCCTTAATAATTACCTATACTAGTTTTGGGTTTCCTTATCATAATTGCAGTACAACATACCCCCAAACCCCAGTGTGTGTCCCAGCAGGGTGAGTCAAGAGTCAACTGTGCAGCGCGTCGATGAAGCTTCTTCGACTAGCGTGTTTGAACCTGTACATGGGTGGTTGTCAAAATCATGGTCCCTTTTGGGTCCCTATTACAATACGGCACCTAAAATCTGGGGTGCCCATAAGGGGACCTTAGTTTTGACAGCTACTCACATGTATGCATGCAACTAAAGGGATCCCGCACTACTGTTTACTAGTCACAATGAAGCCATACCGAAGCGGTAAGAACTTTAAACACCAAATTCGAGAAGCCTAAGTCATGAGCGCCTGTGCCCGAAACATCTCGAAACCCGGCCCTACAGCCCTTTGAACCTGAACTCAAAGCCCTGCACGCTAAGCCTAGGTAGGTACGAGCTGCATAGACGGATCCTTCAGTGAATACCAAAGCCATGTTAAACCATAAGCCCCAAAACCTCAACCCGAAACCTCTAACCTCTAAACGCTACATAAGCTCTCTAAGCCCTACACCCTGAACCCTGGGCGGGCTCCCCAAACACTTCATGGGAGGTCTTGGCTCAGCCCTTTGGAAATCGACTGAGCCGGGCCCGTCCTCATTTGGAGGGTCGGTGGGGGGAATTAGCAAGTGGGTAAGGAGTGGAGTGAACAGTACTCCACAACGGATCCTTGTATGATTGTATGGGATAGATACGTATAGCTCCATAGAATGGCCAATTCGAAGTCCCCGAACCTCCAAGTAGCTGTGGAAGACGTCGCTGCTGGTTTGGGGCCTTGTGTCCCCGGGTGAGTTGAGGGTTTCAGCTCGGGTCATTGGTTTGGCGGGCTGAGGGTCCCAATCAGCTAGGGTTCACATGGGTGGTTGTCGAAATTATGGTCCCTTTTTGGTCCCTATGATACTACGGCACCTATCATTTAGGGTGCCCAGATGAGGGCCATAACTTTGACAACTACGCATGTATAGGGCTTCGGGGGTTTAGGGCTTGGGCCGAAGGCCATCGAGCCCCCTCCTAGTCGTGGATTCCGGCTTTCGGGTTGCAGATCTCCTGCGGGATTGGCATGTGGGACGTCAGGATAGGGTTTAGGGTTTAGGGTTTCCCCAGAGCTCAGTTATCCACAGAGCTGGTTTTTGGGTTATGGGTTCTTGAGGCTTGCGTCAGGTTTTGAGGAGCAGTAGCTGGTAGCCCACTAATTTCCTAGAAACTCCAAAACCCCTTAATTAAGGGATGCACCTCAAATCATATTAGGGACCCTACCATAATTTAAGGTATATTCCTTAATCAAGGGGTTCTGTAAGGTCTGGGTACATAGTTAGCTAGGCTCTTCGTGTGGCCTTCGCAGCAGGGTCAGCATGTTCCGCGTCTAGGTCAATGAGCCACATGTGGAGCTCGCAGATAAAGTCCGTGTTCCAAAAATGCATCGGGATGATGATGCCTGCGTTGGGAGGGTTTTTTCCTGCAGATTTTGGGCGGGCTCGAGTTCACGGATGAGTTTTCGAGCGGCCTCATTCTGTTACAATTCTCGGCTGGGTTCCCTTCAACTCGGAGGCCCTCACTACCCGGGCCCCAGGCACTAGCAGTAGCATGGTACATATATGTAGGCAGAAATTGATGGAAGAGATCGGCCCCCGCACCGGCACTAAGCACGAACCTGAGAAGCAACGATTTTGTTCCGTCTCTTATCGGGCTCCGACGGAAGCCCCAAACAACGCCCAAAACCCACCTACAGGCGAGCATGTCCAATATGTAACGAAAGACGCAGTCGACCCCACAGGAAGGTTAGGTTACACAGTTACGCACGCACGCACGCACGCACGCACGCACGCACGCACGCACGCACGCACGCACGCACGCACGCACGCACGCACGCACGCAAGCAGGCACGCAGGCACGCAGGCACGCAGGCACGCAGGCACGCAGGCACGCAGGCACGCAGACACGCACGCAGTTCAAGGCAGGTCAGGGCATGAAACAAGATCATACAGAAGGGTTTGTCACCCCATCATGCTAGCAGTCTCCTAGCTTATGAGTGTACGATTTGAACCCGCACCCTCACATCAAGCCTCACTGTGCGGTCTTAGCTCGCATGTAGCTGTCGTCCGAACTTGCTGCAAGCTTGTGCAACTTCTCTGTGCCTGTAACAATTCCTTTCAAAGCTGGAAGTTTCCAGCAAGTTGCACCCTTCACGGCCTAATTTCTGTGCGGCTCTCAACTCGCAAAGAAGCCCCAAGATATGGGGCATAAAGGCCCTAAAAGAGGGATCCCAGAGAATCTGCCAACTGAAGAATCCTAGGACCGAGCTCTTCAGCACCCCTGACGAGTCCCTGACTTCCCAGCCAGTACACTGTCCAATACAGTGAATGCATGCTTCGTACTATAGGGGCCTGAAGAATTGCCTATACTATTTTGGGGGCTCCTTATTATGAATATTGTATAATGGGCCCCAAAACCCTATTCTAACTACTAAGGCCTCTATATTGCCTCTTAGGAAGCTTAAGTCACATTCCTATATGCCGTTGTGCCTCAAATTTCTATGTCAGCTAGACAGCTAGACAATCGATCAGGAAAGCCTCCGTTGCCTGGCGGAAGCTTCCGCAGCGCTGACGAGCAGCAGTCTGTATTGGCGTCCTTCGGCTCGGATCAAGATCTGGGTCTACTGTCTCGTTCTTAGTAGGGAATGGCGGAAGGGATTATGGAGACTATTATTTGGGATTATATAGGGACTACTGTAGGGATCCGTTCCCCCATTCCCTACTAAGCACCAGACAGTCTACCGGTCTACCTTTCATCTCGCCTAGCCTGCCTCCAGGCCCCAAACCCATCATGCCCTGTATCCTGAACTAGTCTTGATTCCCATATTATCAGACATCAGATATGATTAGCACAAGGCTAGGCACAGAGCAGCGCGATGTAGACGAGATCGGATGCCCAGGCAACATCGGCTACGACCACTTCTACATTCATGGCATGGACGGGGAAGGGGGAGTTCGTGCTGTTTGGTCTCTTTTAATTTTGAGCTGTGGATGCGGGGTCAGAGATTCGAAATGTCGTGTCTTGTGCCTGCTGCCCCGGCCGCAAACTTGATCCGGATTGTGTATGCTTTTGTTATGCTGTTGGGTTGTATCTTTGGCCTTGCATGTAATTCATGGTGTCTTTGATTGTTGTCAAGGCAACATAGTATAGAGCGATGTACGTAGTGATGTGATCATGTGTTACTGGTCTCTGCCTGTTTGTCGTGCACGGGACGCAGGAATATCCGGTTGTCACCGATTTCGACTTCTCGCTTGGGGTGCCGCGGCCACGTGACGAGGCTAGGCTGTGGTTTTGGATGCCGATTTCCTTTCTCTACGACCTTCTACGGAGATCTTGCACACCCCAGAACACTCCTCTCATAATCAAGTTCCCAATGCTACCCGCTGGCCCTAAACCCTAGACCTACAACCCTTCTTTGTTAAGTACGCCGCAGCCTTGCGAGGCCCACCTTTGGGCAGTCAAAGCCTTCTATGCCACCACACGGAATATGATGCTCCTTACGACAGGCCAGACAGAGTCTGTGAACAGGGGTAATGATTTAGGGCAAGCAGGTTTTTCAACTGGTGTAGAGTTCAATAGCCTTGCATATAATGGCATGAATACGTTATGTTGTTCTTCCTTATGAGGTCACACGAACGGCTTTTGGGAAGTCGACTCTGAACCCACGCCTGCCAGCAACAGTCAGGACAGTGCAGATATGCCTGTGAAAACGACTTTCAGGGACCGTATAGCCTTGAAATTTAGGGCGTCGCAGGTTTTCTCTACATGGCTCCCGAATGGCATTCTCAGAGGCATACGGCTGCAGCATGGGTTCAGAGCCTATTTTTCTTCTTTCCAGATAACCCGGTCTTCCCAAAACCCCTAGCATTGTCTTGCCTTTTGCTGGTAGGCATAGGTTCAGAGCTCATGTTTCACACAAAGTTGGCGGAACGAGAACGAAATGAGCCCTCTCCCCACCACCCCAACCCCCCACCCCCTTCCCGAAGAAAAGTCCTCATCGTGAAGCGCTTAGAATCCAATGCGACAGCTTCCAAACCGCAAAACCTGCAGAAAAGTGCGCGGTAGCTTAGGTGCGCGCCAGGCCCTATGAAACCAAAGTGTCCTTGACCACCAAAAACCCTGGTCTTACAACTCAGGGTCTTACATCAGGGTGTAAGGGTCGGGTTCTGAAAGGGGCGTTTAGCCCCCCGGCGTTTTAGGACGGGCCAAGTACTGTAGCTCGGGCCTGTAGGCAAATTCCCGCATGCCGGTGCCACTCCCCGACTCGGTGTTATCCTGAAACCTAAAGCCCAATCCCGAAGCCATGAATAAGGAACCCTGAATCCAAACTATGCTTTGCAAGAGCCACATGATGCGAGGAAGAAGTATGACTACGCGAGTAGAGAAGATACGCACGCTCACAATACAACAACGCAACAACAATCTATCGACTGCTACGGCTGCTGCTGCGGCTACTACAACTGATGCTGCTACGACTACTGCTACTACTACTACTACTACTGCTGCTACTACTACTACTACTACTGCTGCTGCTGCTACTACTACTACTACTACTGCTAGCACTACCTCTACCTCTACCTCCACCTCTGCCTCCTCCACCACGACCACGACCACTACCACTACCCCTTCTACCAGCACCGCTGCCACCATTACCACCACGACTACCACTGCCACGACGAAGACGACGAAGCCCGTACAAACCCCAAGGGAAAAACACTTAAGCAGAAACCAGGTGAGCTCGATCAAGGATCTCTTCCCTCCGCCCTGGCGGCGAACCTTTATGCGACAAGGCCGCTGGGGTTAGGCTGGGGTTAGGCAGTTTAGGGTGTGGGATTTAGGTTGCAAGCCAGTTGCAAAAGGATGCCATTCTGGATTTTGTTTCGTGGCGGTGGAAAAGTGTGTGTGTGTTGCATGAACATTGTGATGCATGTGTTGGCGTGGACTTGTTTAGACGACACATGTTGCGAGGCCGTGTGGGTTTCTGTGCTTGTTGGTTTCGGGACCGGGGCGCGGTTCCGGGGGCTCCAAGGGCTTCGGCGGAAGGGCTGATTGTTTTTCCTTTTGGAGAATAGGTGGGATGGTAAGACGAGTCCGCCATACAGGCCAATATAGGCCGTTCCTCCGTTCGTTTTAGGCAGAAGGATCTTGTAGCTATAGAGCCGAGGTTTTCTAGGTTCAGGGGTGCGGAACCCTCGTGAACTTTGAATGATCATCACATGAATCTCTGCTAAACCCCAAACCTATGTAGATCCTAAAACCCTAAACCCTCCAGCCCTCAGTGCCAAGAGAATGTCTTTTTGTGTTTTGCAGCGTCGGCGTGCATTATCAAGGGTTTTGGGTCAAGAGTTCGGATTGTCGGATGGAGTTCACGATTTCGGGGTAGATGGCGAGAGAGACTAATGCCCTTCAAATTGTGACTGCCCCGCGATCTGTAGTGTGGTGGGGTTCTTTGCGTTGCGAAATAGGTTCAAAATTCAAGATATCGGCGCACTGCCCTCCCTGCAAAGTTAGTGTCAGGTGAGAGAATGTCGTGGCCCCTGAAACGGAAGGAGAACTAGCAGTAACTAGCAGAACCCTCGTCCTGCAGACCTTGCTCCTGAAGTATCTTGAAGCAGTTCCACGTTTGTGCCGGCCATATGTGTAGGCGATGCCAGGCGAAATTGGCTTTAGTTGACGGACACTGGCTCTGACAACCTTACAGTACTCCGGCAGCCCTAAGTAAACGAGAGACACAGTTGTTGAAACCCTACAAATCCTGAACGATTACATAAGCCCTACCTTTCCTTGTCAGCCCCAACGAAGATGAGCAGGCGCTTGGTGAACGTGCCATTCATGCTTCGCGAAGACTGCCATGCTGTTGCGGAGGTCCCTTGCTGGGATCGAAAGGCAGTGTTCCAAGTTCCTGATTTTCGTCGTCCGAAGAACGAAGCTTTTTCCATGGGTGAGCCAGGGCATGTGCCAAAGTACCATGCACAGAGCCCTAGGTGACAGCGCTGCACATTATCATGAACTCCGGGTTTTTCAACTTCTGATTTTCCGTGCATGACGGGTGCAGATGGTCCTTCGAGGGAAGCATTGCCTGGAATTTAAATCAGTCATAGTTCATGAGTCACTGTAGCGTGTAGTGTTTAGGCTTGTGGGGTTTAGGGCTTAGGGTTTGGGTCGTAGTATCCTTGCGAGACGGAATTGGTCGTTCACACAAAGAAAATTGTGAACTCTGAAGACTAATCCCAAGCTCTGTCCCCCCCAAACTCATTCTTCAACCTGGCAAAACCTGCCTTTTCGTAGGTCCCTGGAAACCAAAAGGGTATATAAGATATGGTAGTTTAAGGTAGACATTCAACTTAAATCCTGCACCCTCGCGTAAGGCTGGACCAAAACTTTCAAGCTGAGCATGGTAAGGAAGTAGTTTAGAGTTGTGGGGTTTAGCTTAATAAGTATATATGGGTTCTAATCAGAGTAGTTCCCATTGATTTAGACACAGTTTACAGCTGCATCGCATATCTTTGCGAATTATTCAGGCGCCTACCCCCGAACCCTACCAGCCGTACAGTAATCCATATATACTGGGCATGAAGTACCATACTTTAATACTTGTTTCTTAAAGCAACCATCATGAAATAAAAAAGTTATAGTTTGTCTCCGTGGTGACTTAAAAGCCCAGTATAGTATCCGCCATGTTAGAGGCTTACAGACACCAGGGCCCCCCTGGAGGATCCCAGTGCTCACAAGCTTTCGTTCGTCGGATCCGTGCAGGACCCGAAGTAGAGTCAGCGAGGGCTGAGGTTTAGGGCATCAAGTTCAGGGTTGAGTGTGTTGGGATTAAGACTCCAGGGTTCAGAGACGTTGTCAATCGTGGTCGTTTCGAAGGGTTGTGGAGCGAGATGCAGTCGAAGGCTTTGAACGTATGGTTTGAAGCCGCAGTAAACAGATAGTGTTTGGCGACTGTAGCAAAGGCGCTGCAATTTACGCCGTGGATGCAATGAAATATAAAAGTTGATTCCGACCCCTTGGTTAAAAGCCACAAGGACAAAGGAGGTTTTCGGAAAATAACCGAACCTATCCTCTATATATACTGTACGCCCATATCTCCGCAAGCCCGTCCCTAAATCCTACCTAGAGGATCATGGGACTTCGTAAGTAGGGTCATAAGTACATTAGTTCATTAGGCTATAAGGCCGGGTATACCTATATACAGTATAACAGATAACAGTTACCTGAATGAAATCCTTACGTACTAAGTACCCTGATCCTTTAAAAAGGCCCTAAACCCAAAGCTTTGAGCCAGTTACCTGACTGAAATCCTTACTTACTTGCTAAGTACCCTGATCCTTGAAGTAGGCCCCTTCGCCAAGCCCAGCCCTGATAGGATCACAACCATGAGCGGGTTCTTTTTCTGAGGCCGGCTCGGAACAGTTCGGACAGCAGCTGCTTGCAATAACCTTGGCGAGAGATCCGTGGAGTCAGGCGCATCCCGATAACAACAGTAGTGTCGATTCAGACCAGCTGAAACAAGCCAGACAATTTGATGTTGTTCTCAGACTTTTTGTTAGGATGGGAAAAGTTTGAAGCAGCATCAGTATCGCACGGCGTCCCTCAAGCATCAGCAACGACAGCATGGAAACGCTAAGGCTGGTAACACATCTGGCAACGTCTATGTTCTAGATTCTATAGGCTGATGGACCCGTAGACCATGTTGCATCTGGACTTGTTGAGGGGTCGTGGGCCTACTGCTGAGCCCTATGGGCTCAGAGTGTGTGAGGGGACCGTGCCGGAGATTAGTGGCTGAGATAAATCATTCAGATAAACTCACTTGTTTGACTCTAGAGCCTTTTTGGCCGAAGTCTGAAAGCCTCGCATATAATACGACAGCTCTCTATCACAGCCGGAGTTCTCAACACAGGGCGTCGGCGCTGGAGTTCGGAAGCGACCTCACCAAGCAAGCGGAAGGACCGAGTTGAGGGTTTATGTCGACATACTCTGGAAGCCTGATCAGTTACCCGTTGCTCCGCGGGGTTCCTTAGTATATTTGCATGTATTGAACTATACTCCAAGACTCGGTACAAACTTATTCAGGCCCCTTGATTAGAGATTTGCAGATCTAGACTATATAAACCCTACACCCCTAAACATGGGTTTTCCGAACCATATGCCTCGCCTGGATTGTCCGAGTGTGAGCGCCGAAACCCATATTTGGGTTTGTGTCCGTGGCAGTGGAGCCTGGGGTTGTTACAGCGAAAACGCTAAGGCCTTCGACCCTATGAGGTAAGACAATGCTCTGTGGGTTTAAATACACAAGGTTTGACCCTAAACCCTTGTAAATCGCAGACCCTGAAGCCTAGAATCCCAAGCCGAGAGTAAACGCGGGCGATGGATGTCTGTCTGACTGCCTGCCTGTCTGTTTGCATGTAGGATATATGTATCAGTATGTAGGTATGTTTCATGTACGTAGGTAGGTAGACAAACAAGTAGCTAGGTATGAAAAAAAAAAAAAAAAAAAGAGATGCTCCATTCACCCACAGCAATAATGGGGAGACGAAGCCATGCAGACTTGAGCAACCCGCAGCCCTCCATTCCAAACCTACCACAGCACCAGGGAGACGAAGACAAGCAGATTTGAGCAACCCTCCATTGCCAACCCACCACCGCCGAGAAACAAGAGATGAAGGACCCTAAATCCTACAATCCTGATCCAGCCTTGACCCAGCTCTCAGCAGCTGAACCACCGGAGACCCATTGTTTTGGCCTTACCCGTGAGTAGGGTTTTATTTCACGTTAGTTCCTTAGACTCTCCATATGTATATATATATATATATATATATATTTTTTTTTTCTACACCAAGAATTTCAAGAACTATAAACCCAAGTTAGTCTGTTGGTTTCAGTGGGTTTTCTGCGTTAATTAGCCCGAAACCCAGAGCCCTTCCAGGCCTGGACCTGGACCTTAAGTCCCAAGCCGGTCAACCCCTACCTCAACCCAAAATAACCTATATACCTTTTTTAAGGACGTATACTAGGAACTCATCACAGGGAACCTTTAAAAAGGAAGGCTTTATAGGGTCCGGATAAATCCGAGGCTTTGAAGTCGTTATTGTCGGCTTGAAGTCTTCCGAGGATTCCTATGGTCCGTGAATACTGCGAAGCTCTTTCTCCGAGCCATGTCCCCAGGGACGACCCAGAGACTCCAATAAATCTTAAATAAGGAATGTATCTTAAATCATATAAGGGATCCTATTATAATTTAAGGTAAATATTCCTTAATTAAGGGACATTGGAGTCTCTGGGGGGACGAGGTCAGGATTTAGACTGCGGCTGTCAGTGGCAGTGGTGGTGCAGTAGTAGGACAGCAGACGGGGTGCAGAAGTATAGTAGTGGTGGTCTACCCAGAGACTCCAATATCCCTTATTTAAGGAATATTCCTTAAATCATATTAGGGATCCCTAATATAATTTAAGGAATATTCCTTAATTAAGGGTATTGGAGTCTCTGGGTAGGACCGGAGAAGGCTGCAGAGGCAGCGGAAGCTAGGACCCTAAACCCTAAACCGAGGCTTTTGAGACCTCTACTTAGTTTCTACTTGCACGTCGGCTCGGCCAGATCAATCTATAACGTTTAGGATCTAGGGTTCAGGTTTAGAGCCGTCTAGGGTTGCAGCAAAAGGGTTATCCGTGATGTGGGCTTTAGGGTTTAGGGAAGGTAATCTTTAGCACAAGCAGGCAAGCAAAGCTAGTCCTGCAACAAAAACACATCAAAGAGGACCCTGCCGAAGATTGCCCGTGTTCTGACCGATTAAAGAGGGTGATCCTATTCGGAGCCCTAGACGATGCAAGGTTGAGCGGTTTCCGGGTTTCCGATGTTTTGCCCAGTGTTCAGTGATTTTGGTTTAAGGGTTTTGGTTTTGGTCCGGAGTTTAGGGTTTCGGTGTGAAGTTTACCCTACATGAACTCTTAATTTCGGGCCTTGACAAAATTTGAGTGGGAAGTAGGTTCACACCTTATAGGATCCTTATTGCATCAATGTATTCTTGACTTTCCATACACAAGCGACGCGAGCCTGTCGGCAAGGCAGTGTGAGCGGTAAGGGTTTGAGCGTTGAGTTGTGGACAGAGGTCGTGGGTCCTTTGCGCAGGCCCGCAGTCCAATCTGTCATATTAAATGCATGGTTGAAGCCGCAGGCTAAAGTGTAGGTTCACAGGAGACAGGAAACGTGAGGGCGTTTCCAAGCTCTGCTGCAGTGTCTCTCCATGTCCAGAAACCAGGTAGTATCCCGCGCCTCAGTTTCACCGATTAATAAAGCATCCTGAACGCTGAATTTACACCCAAACCCAAACCCCCACTGGCCCTGGAATAGGGTTTTGGGGCCCATAGTACTAGAATTATTATGAAGGAACCCCCAAATAGTATAGGTAATTGTCAAGGCTTTAAAACTACGCTTATCCAGGCCTTGGTCCCACAGGGCTTTGGCGGCACCGTTACCCACGTGTTGAACAACAGCCGACGTCGGCCCCTTAAAGTTGTGGTGAGCGGTACAAAGTGTAGGGATTATGGCTTAGAGATCTTCCTTTGGGGATGAAGGGGGCCCCGATCAGCGGGCGTCTACCAACAAACAGGAAGCCCCACCCCTTCACTACCGTCCCGCAGAGGGGTCTATCAGATGACCATGTGCAGGGAATCCACATGTCTACTCTGGAGGGGTGCTTCATGATGGCAGGGGGTGGGAGTTTCCGCTACAGTATAGGTTTGAGGATAAGGCTTTGACATGCTTTGAATCGGCATATATTTGATCAAGCCCTGTGCCAAACCCTTACGCTAGACGAGGTGACGAGGCCCTGTGTCTTTTTGTTGTCAGACCGATGACCTGAACTGTTTTTTTCAAGCTTCCCTTCGGTCGTTTATGTGTCGGGCGCTTCCTTCTTGAAGCAGACACCATCTTTGCAGGATCCGTTTTATGCTTTATGAGGCGAAAGCTTTAGACTTTCCCTCTTTGCCCGGAGATCCCAATACCCCTTAATTAAGGAATATACCTTAAATCATACGCCCCCTATAATTTAAGGTCCCTTAATTAAGGGGTATTGGGATCTCTGGGTGGTTGAAGTACCTCAAAACTCTACCATCCTGCGGCCATGCAGTCAGCTTTGCAGGAAGGGCGAAAGTAAACGGGCTTAGAGTTTAGGGGTTTAGGGTTTCTTAGGGGTACTTAGAAATAAATTTTTAATTTTTGGTGAATATATCCCTAAGAAACAGCTAAAATCATAATTTTTGCTAGGGTTCTAAGTTCAGTATAGGTTTATGGTCCTGAGGTGAGCGTTTGGCTCTGCAGCGGCGAAATCTGAAGAATCTGTGCCGGAGCCCAGTTCAAAAGCAGATGCGCCTTGAGATTGGGGTTTAGCTATTCAACGGTGCCGAATCTCCGAGAGAAGAGTTGCTGTGGTGACCCCAAGCCTTTCGAGGGTGGAGTTTTGTATCTTATCCAGCGGCTTCGTTGTACTTAGACTAAACCCTACTATTTTGTGGGTTCCTAATATAAACCTCAATAGGGATTTATAAGGACCCTGCAACAAAGTAGGTTCTGGTAGGTAACGGTACTTGGAGGTGTATTTTGTTCTTAGTAAGTAGGGTTATAAGTATTGTAACTATAGTGATATCTACTTATAACCAGAATTAAGGTACTTACAACCCTACTTGCTAAGTCCCATGATCCTCTAAGTATCGCTTAAACTCAAACTTGAAAGCCTAGCTCGCACACCCGAAGCCCAACCTCACCCACTGCATAAGTTGTCAGGTTGATGCCGGATGATACCCATAGTCTCCATTGTAGTTCCTTATTTGGTTAACCAAAAATTGTTTTATAGGATCTCAACCATAAAGTTTGGTTAACCAAAAGGAACTACAAGGGAGACTGCAGGGGGTCTTCTACCCCGCGGCCTCCAAGTATACAAATAGGACCTACTTGGGGGTCTACAGCCTATAAATAAATAGTACCTACTTTGGGCAGAGGCGCTTTTTGGAGCCCCAGGGTAAAGATTTGGGGTAGTTTGACGTGCTGTCTGGACTGATGAATGCAGACGTCCATGCTTGGTACAAGCATCCGTGATTATAACCCGACACCAAAGCACCGAAGTAAGGGGTCCTTCGGACCTTCGGTGTTATGGTGTCAGGACGATGTGGGGCGTCGTTGAACGCTGAAGGGAGTATATGCGTAGATGTCATCAGTACTTGGACCCTCAGGGTGCATACATACACCTAAGTCCTTTGCCAACCATCACATAAGCTCCCCCTTTGACCCTACCATGACCTAGTTTGTGTGCCGACCCGGCTATAGTTCGTAAGCCTATCCTATACAACAAGTGGCGAATCAGGGTTCTTTCTTTTTCAGGTCTGGGGCTACTTTGATCGTGAGTGCTCCTGAGCATAGACACATGTTGAGGGTTTGGCAGGGGCGTTTTCTAGGGAGTCAGAAAGGCTGCGCGGAGTTGCTTTGTCATCGGACTTCTCCCTAGACCCTAGCCCCCCTTAAAGCCTCAATCCTGAACTTTCTGTTGCCTGAACTTCTGATTTTTTTGTTTTTTGTTTTGGGGGCTAGGACCCCAGATGCCAGCAGTCGTTAGAGAGTCGATTGTCGGTTTGACTTGAAGATGCTTCCTTCCGAAACTTGGGATGGGAATTTAGGTTTGGAGTCTTCGGGTCTAGGGGGTTTATATAGCTTCTGATCTGTGTTACTCTCTCACCTTTGTGGCTCCAAAATCGGCCCCCGAACCACACTCGCGCCGAAATGCTGTTCACTCGATACTCGGAGACTCCGATATCCCTTCGTTCCGGGTTCCTTGTTAAGGAGCCCATATACAATCTAGTGAGGACTCCGGAAACAAAGACCTTCGAAGTTTCTGGGCACGCCTCATCCAACTCAGATGCGAAGACCGCGGTACCAGCCCCAAGGTACCGACGCACGAGCATCTGCGTCGTAGCACCAGGGGACGCCCCAGTCGTGCACCCAGTGAGCTGCGGCAGTCGGGGAAGGGGCCTAAATAGTCGCCAAAACGGTTTTTTGGGGTTCCTGAGTACAATGATAGTATAGTATGCCCCAAGCCCTAGTCACTAGTCTTGTTATTAAGGCCCCTATATGTTATGTCATTCAGTTGGTTTGCCAAGACCCTAAACTCTTTGCCTCAAGGTGCGATCTGTGCCTCAGGCTTTTTAGGGACCTTTTACTGCTTGTGCCAGAGAGGCAGCTCGCTTTTATTCCAAGCCTAGGACTGAAGACTTCATGTGTGTGGCCATCGGGAAGGTCCGTTTGTCATCTGAGTGGTTGTCAAAATTATGGTCCCTTTTTGGGTACCCTAAATAATTATAGGTGCCGTATTATAGTAGGGACCCAAAGGGACCATTATTTTGACAACCACCCATCTAGCTTCACCTAAAGCCTAAGCACAACGTAACGCATGCAGGGGACTGAAGCCTTGCCAGTAGTGGCCCTCATGCCAGCAGCTGCTTCTTTGTGATGCCTTGGTAGTGACTTCAGCAGGCGTGGCTTGGACGTGTAGGTTTGCATAAAGACTTCTAGGATAGACGTCAGTTTGAACCTGATGGGGTGCAAACGGTTCCAAGATCTCGCATGCAAATCCCATACGGAAAAGTCATTAACAGGTCTACGGAGAGGCCGATGGCCAACATTGTTCCTCATAGTAGCCTCAGGGTCCATGTACGTATATAGTTGTTAGATACTTTGGCCTTGGAGAAGCTCCATTATAATAAAGGCAAGTAGTAAAGGCACTGTATTGCCGATGTACATGCTATGTAGCTAGACGGTGCTGACTAGTTCGTGCGTGAGAAGGTCCTTCTGCAGCATGCTTCATCGGAGCGCAGCATCTTGAATTTCGGGATTCACGAGGGAGCCTGTTCTTTTCGGTTTAAACGTAGCGGATGTCCGGTTTCGAGCCTGAGTGCGCAATAATGAGTCTGCGATTGGGGTTCTGGCGTGAAGGTCCTGCAGGGATGAAGTCAGGAAAGTGTACCTGCTCCAATTTGCACATGAATACGTAGCGTCTTCCGCTAGGTCACGTGTGCTTTCCATCAGTCTACGACATTGGTAGGGCAACGGTTTTGCGTTTACCTCGGCCTCGGCGTGGATTGAAAAAGGGGAAGGCCCACCCATATTCTGGAACGTGTCAGTGGTTGGTATCCTGTACTCTTTTTCTGGGGCTGCGACTGAGGTTTCTTACAGCCTCGAAGCCCTAGCAGACCCTGCACTTCTGACACCTGTAACCTCCAAGACTCTGCAAACCCGAAACGCTTCATCCCTAAACCCCAAATCCTGGCCCTTTACCCCTATCGACCAAAAAACCCGTCACACCCATAAACCCTTTACCCCTCAACCCATAACCCCTAAACCCATAAATCCTAAGGCTCCCCCCCCCCCCCCCCACCCCCCAAAAAACGGAGCCCAAAATCGTTCCGAGGCACTCGGGCAGCGACTCTCTGACGTCTTGGAAGCAGGCCAGGTTCTTCGGGACTAGGGGCTTCAGAGTTTAGGGTTTACGGTTTAGGCTTCGGGGCATTCTGTACGGTTTCTACGATGTTCTAAGCAGTGAGGAGCGCGCTGAGAGGTTTAGAGTTTCTAGATTCGGTGTTTCGGGGTTTGGGGGTTCAAAGGTGCTGCGGTTGAATGCTGAAGGTTTACATAGGCGGTTAGAGGTCGCTCATTCAAGAGCTACCGCATTCCCCTTACCTGAGAGGCAGTTGCACCTGCAAGATCCTGCAAGCAGTCTGGAGAGGTGCATCACACTATACTACAGGATGTTTATGAGGTATAATATGGACGCCTGAACGACTACCAACATTAGTAGGATGTCTTAGTCTTAGGTATGCTATCTTCTACACCCAAACATCAGGGATGGTTCTAACGGTTCCAGGTCAGCTGCTTCGAGAGTGCTTCGTCAGCTCCCATTTTCGGAAGTTTTGATGAGAAGGCACTCCGGGTATGCGGGGGTCCTGAATGCCAGTTGTACTTAGATTCAGAATGATTCAATTTCCGGATGGCTTATCTCCGGCTGCCATGCGGCAGGTTGCATTCCTGCTGTGCTGGTTGGTCCGACACCCAGCTGTCATGATAAGGGTCAGGCAACAGTCGACGATTTGCGGTTTGCTTCTTTGTTCCCGGAAACCATAGTTGTGAAAGGTTCCGGGTATCTTGAGCCGCTGGTCTCTTTTGAAAGGCAGGAGGGGGGTGAATTCCAAAAATCCCAAAGGACCAAGAGCGACATAGCAGCAGCAGTTTCCTCAGGTATTCGTATGATTTGCCGCAAAGTTTGCGCATTGTGGGGTTTCCGGAATTTTGCACCTCACCTTCAGAGTCGATTGGCTCTACATCACAGGCAGCCAGTTTATAGTCAAGATCGGCACGTGGAGATGGCTTTGGTAGAACTTCGCTAACCTTCTTGCCAAGTCAGTTCAGCCTCGGAGCGGTTGTTTTCAGTCAAGGCTCATGAGGCCTCTTAACTCTTAACCATTAGCTGTCCCATTTCTGTGTTGAGTTGGTCCTTAATGCGAGGACACCGCTGTTCAGGGCCCCTCTTGTATTGCTTCTGTTGTGGTATTATTCTATGAGTATACACAGTACTCACAAATTGTACGTATGATTGTTATTCTTCTTGTTTTTTGTTGCTGTTCAGCCTTCCTGGCTAATCCTGTCTTCCGGACTCAGCCCTGCAGCCCACGACCTCAGGTTTAGGGCTTGCAGAGTTTGTGGTTCAGGATGTTTGCTCTGCGTTCAGGGTTGAGAGACACCCCCAACCCCATGCCTAAACCCTGAATTTGCAAAGCCCTACTTCTTACGTCCCGGTAAGCCTAGGCCCTTATACACCCCACAGCGACGCGCTGTACAGGCTTCATCAAACCCTTAAACCCCAGAACGGCTTCCGAAACTTGCAGACGGAAAGAACCACTCAAAAATGGGTAAATTACGGCTTAGGGTGTAATTACGGCCCTCGGCTCTTCAAAACCCAAACCCGAAACCCTACAACTCTAAGCCCCGACCTGCCATGGAAGTTCGAACCCCTCGGCTGCAGGGTACTATAATCCCAATATGGGAGCTCCCGAAAAATTGGGGTTACCTTCTTGAGTTCCCTAGGAAACTCGGCAAGTAGCACAACTAACGACCCCTCGGGGAAAGAAACACATAAAGCACCTCCAGAGCCGTAAAGCTCATCCCAAAAAAACCTATAACACCACATGAAGTTCAGAATTATATTAGCAGTAAGTAACAATCTTAACTAGCAGCAACACGCAACATACAGATAATCGTAAGAGTAGGAAACAAAGCAAGAATGATTTAAACTACCAAACGAAAACGATCGACATCTCTGGAGGCCCTGGCTCCCAGCCGGTGCTTCCACTCCAAGGCATCGTTCGCTGGGAGGCCACGGGGGTTTAGGGTTAAACCGGAAACCCTAAACCCCTAAACCCCTAAACCCTAGGCCCCTAGTTAGACCCTAAACCCTAAACCTTGAACCTGGTTAAACCCGAAACCCGGAACCCGAAGACTTGGGCTTAGGGTTGAACGGTTTAAGGGTGTGGGCGAGCAAGACCTGGCCTGGGCTTGGGGCTTAAACCCACATAGCTTAGGTCATAGGGATCCTTAGGGGTGTAGGGGGGAGGGGTGTAGGGGACTATATTTCCTTAAATAGGCCTTATTAGTCCTTATTATGGGCCTTAAGGCCCCCTACCCCCCCTCCCCCTACACCCCTAAGGATCCCTATGATAAACCCACATAGCTTAGGGTGTTTGGTTTGGGGTTTTGGAGTGTATGTTTAGGCTTAGGGTTGAGAATTGCTCTGAAGCACCCTAGACGTAGCAAGTCATCTCCCATTCTGCTCCTGGGTGTTTTCAGCATGTCGATATAACTCCGATTGTACCTCCACTTGCGCCCGTGCACACTCCTGACAAGACTTGTCGAAGTTTTGGAATTCTGATTTCTGGCTTTGGTGGGGAGGGGACTGGGGGCTGTAGTTGTTCCGACGATGTTGGCTGTTTGATTCGTTTGTGGGACACCTTCCAATAGAAATCTCTGCTGCATCCACGAATCCGTGCAGTCTCTGTACTAAAAATGCTTCGCTTGCTGAGCGTCGCGTTGTGTTCCCACATGGCAGACACGAGCTATTCCGACAAGGGGAACTTTGTCAGGGTGTCTAGGCTGAACCGAACCACATGGGAGTATCCGAAAATTAGGGGTACCTTGTTTTGGGGTCCTTAAAACTATTTCGTGTACTATATTAGGGTCCCTTTTTTCGGAAACTCCCACATCCATCAGACAACACAGTGCATTGTAAATCGGAAACAGAACGGCAAGGGACCCAGAACTCGTGAGAACCGGAGGTTTTCAACTCAACGTCATTTCATCTGATATCTTCAACATCCTTTAACCGAAAGACCCTTACACTTGACTCACAAACCTCTACACACAAAATCCATCTAGGCACAAAGCTTCTTGCCTAGTTGAAGTAAGGCGAATCAGTATCGGTTCAAGGTCTTCCGGCTTGGGCTTTCTGGCTCAGGGCAGCGTTTAGGGTTTAGGGATACCGAATACAGGCTTTTGGTTGAGAGCTCAGGCCATGAAGCCACTACCTTTGTGGCAGTGGCTGTTTCGAGATATCGACGTACTGGGTTTGCAGGCGCAGTTTTTTTTGTTTGGGTTGCACCGCCTGGTGGTTGTGCTTGCAAAGCACGCCGCGACATCTGAACTTGGGCTCGGGCTTGGTAGGGCTGTCTCAATTCCCCAGGGATCAAAACAGCCCAAACGCTTACATAGTATGGTCTTTGGGCCCAACTAGGGATTGATTACTGGTGTTGTTGCGCACGCATTCGTTGAAGTGGCCAGGAATTTGCGATCATCGTGCGCTTGGGGGATGACGTGGCAGGCGCCAGTGAAGAATGCAGAGCTCAGGGAATGGGTACTATACTATAGGGGCCTTAATAATTAATTAGAATAAGGTTTTGGGGCCCAATATACCATTAATTGTAATAAGGAGCCCTCCAAAATAGTTTTTCAAATTTGGTAATTACCCAGGCCCCTATCTTAGGGAGCTTCTTCCGCAGCCAGGACGAGACTCGCCGCCCATTTGGGTCCAGTGTTATCCCGGTCGACTCCTGCGTTGTAGCCCCGACCTATCTAATAAGCACCCGTGTGGGAGTTCCGAAAATTAGGGGTATCTTATTTTGGGGTCCGTATAAGAAGGATTCTACTTTGTCAGGGTACTATATTAGGGTCCCGTATTTTCGTACACTACCGAGTAATACAAGAGTTCAGAGAAATCATCCATGCGACAGCCTCATCTGAATCGGGCTCAAACATCTTACTCTGCCCGTCGAAGTGGTACGGTAACTTAAAGCCGAAGATATGAAAGTCTGACCTCCGAAGCCCTGGAAAAACGTCGCATTGAAGGCTTCCGATGACAAGCTAGACTGTACGTCAACCTATATAAAAACCCCAAACGACGACAGATGTCGAAAGGCTGAAACTTCCACTTCGTGCCTAAACTATACTTCAACCTGTACCGCAAATTGTAATAGTCTTTTGTATATAGACACCCTCCGACAAAGTCCCAATCTCTTTAAGGTGCGCGGTGGGCGATCCGACGCCTTCTGAAAACCTCCGCGGCTGAGGTCGAGCAGAAACACTTCGAGCCGTGCAGGGTTTTGGGATGCAATTAAATGGGTGGCTGTCAAAATTAGAGTCCCCTTTTGGGTCCTTATTATAATACGGCACCTAATATTTAGGGTACCCAACAAGGGACCCTAATATTGACAGTCACCCAAATAAAGGTTGGAGATGGGGCTTTCGGATTGGATGTTTTTGCTTGAGATTAGGAAGTGCGCTTATGCAGAGCATGACAGTTTGGCTTATGTGGTTTCTTTGGCTTTTTGTTTCTCGGGCCTGAGCGTTTAGGATTACTATAGATTTCTCGGCAATAGTCGGCGCTGGCCACGCCGCGAATGCAAAGTGATACTCAGAACCCAAATGCCACCTTGCGACGGGACACCTTCACTGAAGGCAATAGATACATTAGATAGGTCATACATTGTCATACATATATCAATTTAAGCCATATGCCCAATCTCATACCAAGGGACGTAGAGCGAGCCATGTACTTAAGCACCTGCACATGAAGCCTTACTTACAAGTAGCTGAGTCTCACTAAAACCCTGTTACCCCTGGAACCCTCAACCCTACAACCCTTAACCCTAAAACGTTTAGACCCTAACGCTCTGAACCCATACACCCTACACAAAACCGCAAACCCCAACAGCCTAAAACCCTCTAACCCTCAACCCCTAAACCCCCTAACCCTAAAACCCTCAACCCTACACCCTAAACCTCTACACCCCAAAACCCTACACCCTAAACCTCTACACGACCGGAGCCTTCCGGTCACATGGATTGCGTCGATAGAAGACTCTTCTAGCAGTCGCAGAAAGGCGTTTAGAACAAAACTCTACACCCTAAAACCCGAAACCCTAAAACCCTAACGCCCTAATCCCTCAAACTCTGAACCTTACACCCTGAAGCCCTAAACCCTTGAACCCCTGCAACATAAAACCCTAAACCCTGAAACCCTCAACCCCTACACCCTAAACCCTATACAGCCTAAAACCCTAAACCCTCCACCCCCAACAGACTTCTGACAGCTTGCCCGTCGGCGAGCAGCGCTGCAGAGATGGCGGCCGCGACTGGCTTTGGTAGCTTGCTTGATGGGTTTGGGGTCTATGGGTTTAGGGCTTAGGGGTTTAGGGGTTTAGGGTTTGGGGGTTTGGGGTTGACCTGGACCCCCCAAAGTATGTAGAATAATGGCTTTTGTAGGTTTTGGGTCACTGTTTTACCTGCTCTGGGGGGTCTGGGTAGGGTTTAGGGTTGAGGGCTCTGGGTTTACCTGGACCCCCCAACTACCCTTTAAAGCAAAAAGTAAATACCCACTATTAAGGGCCATAAGTGCTCTATGAAGGGGCACTTGGGAGGGTCCTGGTAGGGTTGAGGGTTTATACTTAAAGGATCAGGGGGCTTAGTAACTAGGGTTATAAATAAGGTATCTATACTTATAATCACTTATAGCCCCAAGTAAGGGACTTATGACCCTACTTACTAAGTCCCCTGATCCTCTAAGTAGGGTTTGGTGGGGCTCATGCTTCAGAGGTTTTTGGGGCGTTGAGGCCTTTGGGCCAAAGCTTCGAGAGCTTTTTTTTGGAAGGTTGTTGTTTTCGTCTAACCAGTTTCATGTGTAGGAACCCCAAAAGAAGCTCCAATGGAGAGGTCGAGACTCTAGGTAGGATGTAGGATCTAACAGTTTTTGGCTTTTCAGTTTAGGATGTTGGGTTTTGCCTCGCCAGATATTCCAGCCACAGGCATTTGGCCCCGCGTGCCACGGCAGGCTTGGGCAGGGAGGTGTTGCAGAGTGCAAGGGTATAGGGTTGAGGGTTGCATTCTGTTCAGGGTTGAGGGCTTTTGGGTTTAAGCTGTACGCACAAGCTTGCGGATCTTATGGGTTAGGGGTTTTGGCCTGGAGAGGGGTCAAATCTTCAATAAGGTTTATATACTGTAGCCTGTATCATGAACCTGCAAGCGACTACGGCCCCAACCCAGCAAGCCCTAGTCATCTGGGCTCATCCTCATCTCCATCGTCTCGGCACCCCTCACTAGGCCTAAGCCCAAGGCAATGCCACTGATCATGAAGCTCTGCGTATCATGCCATTGGCTCTGAAGATGCCCTTCATTTCACTGGCGGTTTCAGGTCATTTCCCTCAAGTAGAAAACCCTACCAGCACCCCTCCAAGAGCTCCGATATTTCTCATTAAGAGACAAGTACAGGCTACAATAAAGGGTAGTTGGAGAGAGAGAGGTACTCCGTGCTTCGGCCGAAGGCTTCGGGGGTTTCTGCACCCACCTGGGGGAGTTTCATTCTTCGGTTTGGGGCTTAGGGCTGACTGTTTCGGGGTGCAGGGCTTAGGGGGTCTAGGGCTTAGGTCCAAGGGTAAAAGGAGGAACCCTTAATAAGGACCCCTATAGGTATATGTGGCATGGACCTTTAGGGTCTATTTGGCAATCCTGCTGGGCTTTGTATTTAAACTGCAACAACACCACGGCGACAAGAAGCCACGACGACTCGGTTTAGCACGACGACGACTGGGTTCAACACGGCGACGACAAGGTCTGGCACGACGGTTACATCGGGAGGCCGAAGCGCGTACAGTGTAAAGGTCTCGACAGGAGTTTAAGGGTCTAGGGTCTTAGTTCCTAACTATGGTTTACCGGGGTCAGTATACTATGGAAGATCTAAGGTTTGGAGTTTATGAGGATTTAGATGGTTTTACGCTCTCACAAGTTCTCCGTGCTGGTTTTAGGGTCTATCACAGTCTATCACAATGTCCTCCCGTCCCTCTCGCGCCGGGAACCATCAAGAATCTGTCTTGTGTATTTCTCGTCCTGTGTCTTTCTCTCATTCCCGTTCCTCTTCCTGCCTATCCACTCTGCCGTTTGTCAAGAAGACACAGAAATTGAAGTCATGACAGAGGAATAGGCATGAAGATGGACGAAGTGAACTCTTCATTCTCTCGTCTCTCCCTTCTCTCCTTCCTTTGATTGATCCTTTTTCTGTTTCTTTTCTTGTCGCCTTCTGCTGTCAATGACAGGGGTAACACGAGGGAGGGGCAAAGGGACGACGTCAGTTCCTCTCGACGTGGTTCGTTTTTTCATTTCCTCTCGCGTTGTCTCTCTTCCGCCTCTCTCTCTCTCTCTCTCTCTCTCTCGCTCTGTCTTCCTCTCTGCCGTGTCTCGCTCTCTCATCTCTTCTGTCCCCTCTTTCCTTGCTCCCTTGCTGGAAGGAATAGAAAACAGAAGCGAAGACATAAGATGGAGGAAGATGGTTGGGAGAAGGAAGGTGGATTCCTCCCTCACTCGGCTCTTTGACTTTCTTTGCCCTTGCCTTCTTTTCTCTGCTCCTATCCTTCTTCACAATTAGAAGGAGAAGCGACAAGAACGGAGAGCTCAGGGAGAGCACATGACACTGTTCCTCATAATCTCCTCCTTCATCGTGATCATTGCGTTGTACATCTCCCCCTCTCTCTCTCTCTCTCTTTCTCTCTCTCTCTCTCTCTCTCTCTCGCTCTCTCTCTCTCCCTCCATCCTTTCCTCTCTACTTCTGCACATTTACTTTTCCACTTCTCTCGCCTACTACATTATGCTTGATTTGATACTTATCTTCAACTTTCTCTCACTCTCTTTGTCCCATCGCTTGCCCTGTTCCTTCTCCTCCTCCCTTCCCTGCCTCCCGTCCTTCTCCCCTTATCACTCAGAAGGAAGAAGGAAGACTCACAAGGAGAAAGACAAGGGAGTAAGAAAACAGACAAAAGAAACGGAGAGAGAGCCATAAGGGACGAAATACAGAAACAAAGAGAGAAAACATGGGGGAAAGATAATCAAAAAGAGAGACAGAAAGAGCAGGCGATGCATAAAGCAGCCGACAGTGCCTTGACCTCCACGTCTATTCATTCTTTGTTCTTGTCCTATCACACTGTCTCATTGGTGATAAACCAGGAAGAGCTTGTGGAGGGAGACGAGGAAGAAGTGTTCTCCTCTTCACTCACCTTGTGCCCTTCCTCTCCCACCGCTCGCCCGCTCTCCTTTCTTTGATTTTCTTGTCTGGCGGAAAAGTGGGAACCAGGAAGGAAAGTGGACAAGGGAAAGGACGAGATTGAGAAATGACAGAAAGAAGAGAGATACAGAGAGAGCGAGGGAGAGCTTCAAGCCCAGCAGAGGAAGAAGAGAGAGGAAGATAAGAGAAGGGGGCAAGGGGTGGCCAGAAGAAGCGTAAGCCAAAGCTACGTATTGAAAGGGCGGAAGCCCCATTCTCCTCTTCTTCCTCTTTGCTCTCTTGTTTTTCTCTTAGCGCAGGGCATGCATGGAGCTAGGAAAGGGAAGGGGTCAAAGCGGATGAGAGAAAGTAACGGAGAGAGCTGTTCTTCGTCCCTCTCACCTCCTCCTCTCATTCTCCTGATGCTTACTCATGTCAGAAGGGTCTGGAAAGGAGTGAAGGCTAGGGCATGGACTGAAGCGAGGCAATAGGTGAAAGTGGATAAGAGAAAGTCGGGGGAAGTCGAGTGCGAAAGAAAGAGAAACGAGGAAGACTAGGAAGAAGGACACAGAAGAGGAAGCGAGAGAGTACCAGTGTTGCCGTATCTCAAAGGACTCCGGGCCTCGCGAGGGCTTCGAGGAGGCTTGTAGGCGCCTTCAGACACTTCCACAACTTTCTGGAGGCCACCAACTTCCTCCCTAAGGGGGCCTCTTGAGGACATGAACACCAAACCGAGTATAAAGAAAGCAGGGGGATGTAGAGAAGCAGAGTGTGGTAAGAAGGAGCAAGGAGAATCAGTTCGCGTCTCCTCATCGTTTCCTCTTTGAATGACCACAGGAAAGAAAAGGATAAGAAGGAGGAAAGGCTCTGCGAAGACATCAGGAAAGAAGAGCAGACAACAGAAAGGAAGTGGTGAGATGCGGGAAGACGGTTCGGAGAAGAAAGGAGAATTCCTCCTTCGCTCGCCTCTCTTACTTCCTTGTCCTTCGCCTTCTTCCTCTTCTCTTACCCTATTCATCTTCATAAGGAAGGAGAAATGAAAGGAACGGAGAGTTCAGGGCATGCAAAGGGCACTCTTTCTCATCACCTCATCCATCCTCCTTTTCATTGTTCTCTCCAGATCCCTCTTTCTCTCTCCCTCCCTTCCCGTCTACTTCTGCACATTCCCTTTTCCGCTTCTCTCCGCCTATTATGTTCGCTTTGATAAAATCGCTTGCCCTATTCCTTCTCCTCCTGGCTTTCCTGCCTCCCGTCCTTCTCCCTCTATCACTCAGAAGGAAGAAGGACGATTCACAAGAAAGAAGCGTAAGCCAAAGCTACGTAATGAAAGGGCGGAAGCCCCTGTCTCCTCTGTTCTTCCTCTTTTCTCTCTTATTTTTCTCTTAGCAAAGGGCACGCATGGAGCTAGGAAAGGGAAGGGGTCAAAGCGGATGAGAGAAAGTAGCGGAGAGAGCTGTTCTTCGTCCCTCTCACCTCCTCCTCTCATTCTCCTGATGCTTGCTCATGTCAGAAGGGGTTGGAAAGGAGTGAAGGCTAGGGCATGGACTGAAGCGAGGCAATAGGTGAAAGTGGATAAGAGAAAGTCATAGACAGAGAGTGGGGGAAGTCGAGTGCGAAAGAAAGGGAAACGAGGAAGACTAGGAAGAAGGACACAGAAGAGGAAGCGAGAGAGTACCAGTGTTGCCGTATCTCAAAGGACTCCGGGCCTCGCGAGGGCTTCGAGGAGGCTTGTAGGCGCCTTCAGACACTTCCACAACTTTCTGGAGGCCACCAACTTCCTCCCTAAGGGGGCCTCTTGAGGACATGAACACCAAACCGAGTATAAAGAAAGCAGGGGGATGTAGAGAAGCAGAGTGTGGTAAGAAGGAGCAAGGAGAATCAGTTCGCGTCTCCTCATCGTTTCCTTTTTGAATGACCAGAGGAAAGAAAAGGATAAGGAGGAAGGGCTCTGCGAAGACATAAGGAAAGAAGAGCAGACAACAGAAAGGAAGCGGTAAGATGCGGGAAGACGGTTCGGAGAAGAAAGGAGAATTCCTCCTTCGCTCGCCTCTCTTACTTCCTTGCCCTTCGCCTTCTTCCTCTTCTCTTACCCTATTCATCTTCATAAGGAAGGAGAAATGAAAGGAACGGAGAGTTCAGGGCATGCAAAGGGCACTCTTCTCATCACCTCACCATCCTCCTTTTCATTGTTCTCTCCAGATCCCTCTTTCTCCCTCCCTCCCTTCCCGTCTACTTCTGCGCATTCCCTTTCCGCTTCTCTCCGCCTATTATGTTCGCTTGGAAAGAATCGCTTTGGAAAGAATCGCTTGCCCCCTATTCCTTCTCCTCCTGCCTTTCCTGCCTCCCGTCCTTCTCCCTCTATCACTCAGAAGGAAGAAGGACAATTCACAAGGAAGAAGACAAGGGAGTAAGAGAAAGACAACAGAAGCGGAGAGACAATCCGAGAAGGGCAGAAGAAGAACGAGAGCCATAAGGAAACAAACACAGAAACAAAGAGAGAAAGTAAGAGAGAAAGACCAGCAAAAACAGAGGCAGAGAGTGAGAGAAAGGAGGGGAGGGGAAGCGATGCAGAAAGCAGTCGAAAGTGCCTTGCTTGTCCTATCTCACCGTCTCATTGGTAAAAAACCAGGAAGAGGTTGTGGAGGAAGACAAGGAAGAAGTGTTCTCGTCTTCACTCACCTTGTGCCCTTCCTCTCCCACCGCTCGTCCGCTCGACAGAAAGAAGAGAGTTGCGGAGAGGGCGAGAGAGAGCTTCAAGCCCAGCAGAGGAAGAAGAGAGAGGAAGATACGAGAAGTGTGGA